ATCATAGTCAAATATTATATCAGCACTTTTATTTTCCAGTGTAGAACTCCATCTTACCATATTAAAATCTATACTGGACACAACCTTTTGTTATCTTGCCTATACAAAATTTAAGGTTAAACTTGCTAGACAGAGCATGCATATGATTTCTGGTCATACATCAGCTTTAGTGAAATCTTCTCTGAATCTTCTCTTACTGCTTGTTCCTGATATGCATATGATATGCATATTCATTGACCTTTAAAATAAACTTAGAAAAGAACAGACTACTAGGAAAACTGCACAAAAGACATTTCTAAAGAACCCAACCCTTATTTTGTTACTAAGGATTTAAAAATGGTCAGTTCAAACCTGATCTATCACAGAGATTGCACTGAAAGTTAGATATTTAATGCATGCACTAAAAAGGACTTTAATATTACAAAAGTAGTCTCCTTAATCCAAAGTTCAAATAGGTTTTTTAAAATGCAAATGCAAATTGCAGGGAACAAATGCACAAGAGTTCAAGCTGCAGATTTTGAAAAGTCATGAAAGTCCCCAAGCACTTTCAAAGACTAATGTACAAAATGCCACAAGACCTCTCAAGCTACCCTGCAGAAAACTCTTCCTTTTAGCTTGTAGAGCAGTGAAGCTAAAAACTTCAATCTTTTCTTTATTCAGAACCTCTCCAAAAGTAAAGAGGTCATAGAGTTTAAATGCATACAAAGAAAAAACAAAAAAAGTATAATTATAAAAAGTGTTTTAAAATGTCTCTAAGCAGTTAAAATTTAGAAATAAGCTAATTTAGCAGAAACTGCAGCTACGTAATGCCACTGACAATGGACAAATTACCAAAAACAAGTTGCTGCCAAGAAATTTCATCATCTGTAACAGGCATCTCTCAACATCAATAACTTCTTGCATTAAATTCAACTTTAAATAATACCTACTACACAATAAAATATTATCTCCATTCCACAGACACAGCAGCAGCTGCAGGAAGAGGCTATGGAAGAATTTTGAAAACCTCCAGTTTCAATTCAAAACTATTCCATATTTATACAGAAGTATCACATACATTCTCTAGCACTACTTTAGATATTAATTTTATAAGCTGCAGTACAGTCTATAAGGAAAAGCACAGATAATTTTATTTTAAAGCATTCATTTTCCTATTAGTACAGAAGTCAGAATAGTAAGGATATTGAAAGCTAAACAAGCAGGTGTGATTTAAATTAAGTAATGAAAAGAAATTAATTACAAAGTTTTGGATAAATTCACAGTTGCAGAAACTGATTTTTCCTTTTGATAGATTATACCAACACACTGTATCTGAAGGTATCAATGGCGTTTGCTCCCACTCGAAATGAACGTGGTAATTAGAAGGTATCCCATAGCATTCAGACAGTTAGCCAAGTTCTCCAGGACCTGTAGGAGCAAAGCTGACAAACTACTTATTACAGAGCAAAGCTGCTGCGGGGACTAGGGCAGAAGGCAAACAACTTTGATGTAATTTATTTCACAGGTGATATCTTTCTAGGGATTTTGTCCATCATCTCTCTCTGCACTCATAGGCCATCCCCACCCAGCTAAGTCTGTCCTTGCTTCCCCTGCATCCCACATCGTACCTTGCAATCCATACCACAGCTGTTCTGTGTGTAGCAGTAGCTGCATGTAGCACAGTAGCCTGTGCTTCTGCAGCAGAGGAGAGAGCCCTCCTTACACCCTATCACATCGATTTGATTTGTTCTCTGCTGATCACTACCTATGAAGCACAGAAACAGCCTATACACAAGTCAGAAAAATTAAAGACTGACTCCAGGGGCCTTCCCAGATCCCAGCTCTGCCTGTCAAATATGGCAGGGACATGAAAGGCTGATCACATGTGCTTGACACATGTGCTTGGCTTGGCTTGGCAGTGCTGCTGGCTCAGCCAGCAAGGCCGCTCTGGGAGCTTGGGGCAACTTTACTGGTAAGAAGACTCTCTGCACAGCCAAAGCCTCTGCATTTGCTTGGCCACCACTCTGCATAATGAGAAATGTATCTTAGCATTCAATTTTCATTCAGTCAAATGAAAAAAAAAAAAAAAGAAAAAAAATAAGAAACTTCCTCAAATTTGGGATAGCAGCTGGAGAGCGTCTTCCTCAGCTTAGGAGTCTCTGGGGTCTGCATTTTTCTTTCCATATTATATTGAAATGTAGAAGCAACCTTCCGAATTCACCGAATTCACCGACTATAAATAATGAGCGATTGGGTAACATAGCAAAGAGCATGCCACATTATTGTTGACCCATATTTAATTGTCTTAGTGAAGCAGCACTTAGAAAAGAGAACCGGCGGTAGTAGTGAGGAAAATGGGGTTCACCATGAGTCTGGTTAAAAAGTAAACAGCAGAAAGAGTCAAATGACACTGACATGAAACTAGCAATTACAATCTGCACTTCCTCGGGTAAGTCCTCTTCTCTACAGGAAAGAAACTACCCATTTTAAATCTGTAACAGGAACCTAGCAAGACATGTATTCCACTTCTGTATCACAACAGTACCTCTTTATTTTCTGCAGGGCTTTTTGTAGGCAGCTACTCAAGGACTATGGAGAAGGCAACCTGCCTTGCAATTCTAGAGCCCTTGTAGAGGGCGCTTTCCACATCCGTAATTCAATTATTTATCCACTGTGGACATTAATCACATTGCATCGCATTACATTGCTATTATAGCTATTTTTCAGTGAGCTGTAGGCCTTCTGGGACTTTACAGTGTTTGGTAACCTGTAAAACTGCATTGTACCCCATATTGCTACCATATATGCCTTTAGATTTTGAAGTTGGTAAACCAATTGATAAAACCAGGTACAGAGAAGAAAATGTTTGCTGAGCACTGTTTATAACCTTTCACTCATGCAGCAGATTATCTGTATGATTTGCATGCTACATTTACTCTACAGTAGAATTATAGATACTCAAATCTCAATAATGCATTCATATGATAGGGTATGCCTCCTTTGAATTGATTATGCCTGTGAGCTGAGCATAGAGCACATGCATGGGAAAGATTAATGCGATTAATGAGACCCAGCACTGGGTATGAAAAAAAGGCCATTAGACATGAGAACAACACTCTGAGCATAGCGTAAAGCAGAGTCAGCTTTGTCGGATGATATCACTCCTCAGCAATTCTAACTACCCCAGCTAACTGCAAACTCAGGACATCATTTTGAGCACAAGATGAGAGGCTATCATTTGACAAGATAGGAAAAACAAACATGCATAGCACATGCAGTAACTTCTACCAGTCTGCTCTGAAGTTCTGCTGGTAGCCTAAGCAATCACAGACAGAAAGGTAGCAAATACAGTTGTAAAGGAGACATTGAGACTTGAATATTTGTACAAAGCCTTGGCGATGCTCCTGGAAAGCAAATCCTGTACCATTTTTCTGCTATATACACAGGTGTCTGGAACATAGCCTGGAAGTCCAGACTTTTATCCTGAACTCTCTTTCAGGCCACCTTCAGTGCTTTTGTTTTACACACTAGTACCTGGCAGCCCCACTGTGACCAAGTTTAGTCCTCATTATAGCACTGTTTATAAATCTAACCTATTTTTATGACTGAATATCAGCTT